CGTTGTATTTATGGTAGAAAAATATTATTTGGAGAATACAACCCATCTAATGGACCATCGCGGGACAGCCAGACATCTATTGGTGGTGGCGGTGGCATTTTGGGGACAGGCTCAAAGGCTTCACAGCTAGAACCGTTGCTTGCATCATCTACTTTTCAAGATCAGGCTAAAGATCTAAATGACAAACCGTCGGCCGAAATGGGAACAAATGAAGCCATTAAACTACCACACGAGGCCATAGAACTCCAAAATATAGATGCACTAGCCTCTGTTGGGGCGTCAAATGCCCCCCAAAAGCAGATAGAATCAGACGACGCTTTCTGATCAGATATTCGAGCTGAATAAATGGCAATTGGGCTAATAAATTTAAACCCCTCACCAAATTTAAGCTCTGTTGTCTTGTTTCAGAACGTGATGTTTTTGGGCTAGGCATATAATTTGGATTTGCCCAGGCACATTGATACGATGAATATTATCTTGGCCGTAGTTTTACTCGGATCTCTAATGCTCCTTCCCTGCGGCTTTAGTGATCCAGAAAACCACGTGTTTGGAACGATACCAAAAAATTTGTATGAACCGTCAAACCGCACATATGAAGTTATTGTCCTTAATCCAGAGCATGCCGTTAACTTGATCGATCCTGTTTGGGAAGACATCATGAATAATGTTGAGGGGCTTGGATCTAATGCGACCAATCCAAATCTGGAGCCTGATCTTAGGGACCATTCTTCATCAGTCTCGTTCTCATCTGGCCAATCAAATTCCCTTTTCCTATGTAGCTTGTTAGTGGGCATGATTTTTGCATTTTAAACCACGGTTGCTTGGGCTGATAATTTTTAATAAATTAGAAATAAATATAAATTTCAATTTAAATGCAAATATTTAAAACTGGAGATCTGATAATTATCACTTTTCGTCTAGCTATTGCAAGTCATTCGTAAAGATTGATTTTTGATTTTGGTTATTGAAAACTCGACCGTTGTAAATAGCTATTTTAATTATCTATGATTAAAGGCCTCCTCAATTCTGCTCTTCAACCCCAACACCGAAACTTGGTTACATCGCTGTTCAACGCAAATTTACGCTATCTGTCGCTGCTGGAGCAGTATGAACAGCGGGTGGCAACTGGCGCCATTGTAAACGATTTCGAGCAGAGAAACGTTATTTTTTCTCTAAATGAACTAATGCGAAATATCAGCCGGTGGTATAACACCCGAGCACAATCAGCTGCATGCCATCAAAAATCTATTTTTTCCCAGCTTCTCAGACGCATATATTCGATCTCACTGCTTCGAAAAAAGAATTCCACTCCAAAGGGTGTATATATTTATGGGGATGTCGGTATGTCTGTTTGAGTTTATCATTAGGCTGCGGGAAAACGTTTTTGATGGACCTTTTTTTCGAGGCTTGCCCGATCAGGGAAAAATCAAGAATGCACTTCCATGTGTTTATGAAATTTGTGCATTCAAGTATTTTTGGCTCCCCTTTCTTACGTGTAGAACTTCACGAGCTTAAAAGGGCCAACTTCAAAGGCGATTATATTTACGAGCTTGCAAACTCGCTTGTTTCGGAAAGCAGCATTTTGTGCTTGGACGAGTTTCAAGTAAGCTCCGCTTTTAAACTTCATGCTAGGTGACCGACATTTCAGATGCAATGATACTTACCCGGCTTTTTGGCGAACTTTTCAAGCATCCCTTTATTTTGGTGACGACCTCAAATCGCGCGCCCGATAAGCTTTATGAAAATGGGCTGCAAAGAGAAAGCTTTGTTCCGTGCATCTCGCTCATCAAGGCGAAATGTGATGTTTTTTCGCTCAATTCTGGCAGTGACTATCGAAAGGCAAATTCAAACGGACTTTCAAAAACCTATTTCTACCCAATCAACGATTTCAATGGAGATCTCTTTGAAAAGCTTTTCCTAAATCTGATCGGTACCAATAGGATTGAACCTGTAAATATTTCGGTCTTTGGAAGAACTTGGAGCGTTCAAAATGCTTCTGGCACGACGGCAAAATTCTTTTACTCGGACTTGTGTGAACAAGTAGGTGGTTACTTATTTATGTGATAGCCATTTGGGCCGGCCGACTTTGTCGAGCTTTCTAAACGGTTTCGATGCATTTTCATCTCAAATATCCCTAAATTTACTGCATATACAAAAAACGAAGCAAGGAGGTTTATTTCGCTCATCGATGCCCTATATGAGCAGAGGGTGGTATTGTTTTGCTTGGTCGAGTGCCATTTCAAGGAACTATTTGACTTTACTGCAAAATATACCCCTGATAAAGACACATGCCAAAAGGCCACCGGTACGGACGAAGTTTTGGCCTTCAAACGCACAATTTCTAGGCTTTACGAGATGAGCTCATCAAAGTGGCTGATGCACCTACAAGAAATCGATGCGGTCACTATGTAACTTGGTCATTTTATAAAATAAAAATTTTATTTTCCAACCGCCTTTCTTTAATTGTCGGAAATCGTAATTTCAACATCAACGCCAGCTTCGATTTGAACGTTAGTCTACAGCAATAAGTAAATACTGAATGGAAAACTTACGATTTCTTTAACTTGTTCGGCAGTGGCATTCAGATCGATGACACGCTTGTAGATGCGTAGCTCATAGCGATCCCAAGTCTTTGATCCTTCACCGCAAGGTGTTTTTCTGGTAGTAATACGAAGCACCTTTGTGGGCATGCGAACGGGCCCTTTGATACCTACATTCTTGGCCTTTCCTGCAGTGGTTATGCGAGAGCAGACTAGTGGAGAGAAATTAACATAACCCCATACCTGTCTCAATTGCCTTTACGTTGCGGCTAGATAGAGTGATTCTTATGCGGTGGATCTTTGGCGTGATAATATGTTCAAAGCCCGGCTTCGTGGAGGTCCCTGCTTTCAGCGAGGACGGGGGAGGAGTCATCACGATGGCAGACGACATTAGAAATTAATGTTTAAAAAATCACCAAACCCCGGACTGCAAATTGTAAGTTAAAATTTATTGGATTTGAATTTCGTGGCCGTAAGTTTTAATAAGTTCAGAGACTCTTGCGCCAATCAGCTTATTGTATTTTTCTTTTCGATTGGCATACATCAAAGCTCGCCGCCTGTGACAAGGTCTGATATACCGATTGCGCTGCTTGAAGGCAGAAATTTTTATCCCGTCATTAGCACACAGGGCCGAAAATTCGCGGATGATGGAATATGGAAGGCCTTCATTGTCTTCCTTGCTATTTTGAAGCTGGGTTAGATCAATACTCCTGGAAAGATGCAGACTTTCAGCGTTGCTCCTCGTAGTAGCAAACGAATTTAAGTCTGCTCCTGGCGGAAACTTTAGCAGAGGATTGGACTCTTTCCGTTTATTTGTCTTTGTTGTTGCCTTCTTTCCTTTTGCTTTTAATGGCGGGGCTGCATTTTTCTTTTTTCCAGATGAATACAACCGGTTGGCAGATGATAGATTCGAAAATGGATTTCCAAACACTGTACAGAGCTTCCATTTGACGAGGCAAGAGGAGGCCCAAGAAATTGTCGACAATGGCGATTTGAAATACTTGGTCAGCGTAAACATAAAATGTTTCAATTTTGGCAATCAATTTATTTGATGGCAGCGAGCGTTATAATTTCTCTACAATGACCGCAGTGGCCCCTCCACCCCCATTACAGATGGCTGCACATCCATACTGCCCGCTTTTAAGAGAATGAATTAGCGA